AATTTACCGTTAATCTACTCTTTTTTTAAGTTGAATAGGTTGAAAAACTATATGAAGCCATTTAAAATTTTTTATATTATTAAACCACACGTAAGCCGTCATACATATTCTTTAAAAGAATTCAAAGTCAAAGTCAAAATCGTTTATTCATACAGGTAACACAATTTTTACTGATGTACGTAAAAAATTAATTCATATTAAATGCTTCTAATTTTCATTAACTGCCAGTTCTCAAATCAAAGGCGTACAACGAAAGAGAACAACTGGCAATAAACTCCCCGCCACTCTTTTTAATCGCCAAGTTTTATGTTTTACACAATGTTTGTAAGGAGCTGCATCCATTACACCATGTCCCATATGACTTCTTAAAAAATTAATTCATATTAAATGCTTCTAATTTCCATTAACTGCCAGTTCTCAAATCAAAGGCGTACAACGAAAGAGAACAACTGGCAATAAACTCCCCGCCACTCTTTTTAATCGCCAAGTTTTATGTTTTACACAATGTTTGTAAGGAGCTGCATCCATTACACCATGTCCCATATGACTTCTTAAAAAATTAATTCATATTAAATGCTTCTAATTTCCATTAACTGCCAGTTCTCAAATCAAAGGCGTACAACGAAAGAGAACAACTGGCAATAAACTCCCCGCCACTCTTTTTAATCGCCAAGTTGTATGTTTTTTTTTTTTTTTTTTTTTATGTAATAGGAGGCAAACGGGCAGGAGGCTCACCTGATGTTAAGTGATACCGCCGCCCATGGACACTCACAATGCCAGAAGGCTCGCAAGTGCGTTGCCGGCCTTTCAGGAATTGGTACGCTCTTTTCTTGAAGGACCCTAAGTCGAATTGGTTCGGAAATACTTCTGTGGGCAGCTGGTTCCACATAGTGGTGGTGCGCGGCAAAAACTGCCTTAGAAAACGCTCTGTTGTGGAACGACGGACGTCGAGGTGATACGGATGGTATTTTGTATTTTGCCTTGACGTCCGATGATGAAACTCAGCTGCAGGTATTAGACCGAACAACTCCTCTGAACACTCTCCATGGTAAATGCGGTAGAAGATGCAGAGAGATCCCACATCTCTACGCAACGCCAAGGGATCAAGCCGCACGGAAAGTGACTGGTCGTCGACGATTCGAACCGCTCTTCGTTGAATACGGTCAAGTGGAAGGAGCTGGTACTGGGGAGCTCCCGCCCAGAGGTGAGAGCAGTACTCCATATGGGGCCGAATTTGCGCTTTATATAGTTGCAAGCGGTGGCCCGGAGTGAAGTACCGTCTCGCCTTGCTGAGCACACCAAGCTTTTTGGAGGCTAATTTAGCCTTTCCTTCCAGATGACCGCGAAACTGAACGTTATTCGATATGTCAACGCCCAGTATTCCGATGCTAGCTGAGGCTTTAAGGAGAGTGTCTTCAAAGAGGGAGTAGCGACAAAGGGAGTTTTTTTAGCGGAAAACGCGCATACTTGTGTCTTCTTGGGGTTAAATTGGACTAGATTTAGTCTACCCCAGTCCGAGACTCCACGTAGAAGAGTTTCGACTTCAGACACAAGTTTGTTCCGGTACTCATCGACAACAGCCCGAGAAATACCTGCCCGGCCAGTGTAAAAAGTATCCCCAGTGCTGTCGTCCGCATAGCAATGAATGTTGCTAAGCTGCAACATATCATTGATATGCAGAATAAACAGGGTCGGGGATAGGACACAGCCTTGTGGGACACCAGCATTCACAGGTTTCAGGTCGGAGCATGCTCCGTCGATGACGACTTTGATGCTCCGATCAGCGAGAAAGCTGGAAATCCAGTTGCATAATTTCTCAGGGAGCCCATAGGCTGGAAGCTTCGAGAGCAGTGCTCTGTGCCACACCCGATCGAAGGCTTTCGCTATGTCCAAACTTACCGCCAGCGCCTCCCCCTTGGACTCAATTGCCTCTGCCCACCTATGTGTAAGGTATACAAGGAGGTCACCAGCCGAGCGACCACGACGGAAGCCGTACTGAGAATCGCTAATCAGCTGGTGGCCCTCTAGATACCTCAAGAGCTGGCTGTTAATAATGGTTTCCATTATTTTGGAGAACAAGGAGATTATAGCTATTGGGCGATAGTTGGACGGATCAGAGCGATCGCCTTTTTTAGGGATCGGATGTATCGAAGCGATCTTCCAGCACTTCGGAACAGTGCCGAGCGTGTAAAGGTACCGGAAAAGGCGCGTTAGGACCGGAGCCAACTCAGGAGCACAAGTACGCAGCACAATTGGAGGGATGCCATCAGGCCCGCTCGACTTATGGATGTCCAAGGAAGACAAAGCTTTACGGATAGCACGTTGCCGGAATATAACTTCGGGCATCGTAGTATCACACCGCAATAATGTCGGTGGTTCCTTCCCTTGATCATCCAAAGTGGAGTTCGACGCAAAGAGACAGCCTAGAAGATCGGCCTTCTCTTTCGCGGTATGGGCAAGTGAGTCATCCTCCCTATGCAGTGGTGGAATTGAGGGCTGACAGAAATTCCCTTGGACAGCTTTGGCAAGAGACCAGAAGGCTCGAGTTCCCGAAGGGAGGTGGGCCAATTTCTCACCAAATCTGGCAATGTGCTCTGACTTTGCTTTAGCGATTTCTCGCTTGAAGGACCTGGAGGCTGAATTGTATGCTTTTTTACGTTCGCCGATAGTCACATCACAGGATGTCACCGCTTCTGCCCAGGCTTTAAAGCATTCACGCTTACGGCGCAAAGCCGCTTTGCAGGAACGCCTAAACCAAGGCTGGGACTTACCACCGACCGGCACCGCAGAGAATGGAATAAAGAGTTCCATACCCTGCAGGACCACCTCGGCGACAGAGTCAGCGACGGCATCTGGAGTACTCGACGAAAAGCAAATGGGCCCCCAAGGGTAGGACGCAAAAAAGACCACATCCCATCCCAATCTGCTGACTTATAGTGCCACACGCGGCGACAGCCCGTGAAGCTAGGCCGAAGAAGGCGCGTGAACGGCACAATGCTCCGGACCACACAATGATCTGATGAACCCAATGGCGGTTCAACAGAGACTTGGTAGTTCTCCGGATGTGAAGTCAGCAGAAGGTCCAACAAAGAGGGTTTATGACCATCCACATCTGGTATTCGCGTAATCGCAGGGACCATTTGCGTCAAGTCATAAGCCAAAGCAAAGTCGTGAAAGGATCTTCCCGCATGATCGGTGGTTTCTGAGCCGAGCCAATCGGCATGGTGGGCGTTAAAATCGCCAAGTATCACGATTTCAGCGGTAGGAACCCTTTCGAGCAGGGAATCTGTAGCCATTTGGATGTGCTCAATGAGTCGGTCAGTTTCGGTATTTCCGCTATGGGACCTATACAGGCATGCATAGAATCGCGGATGGTCATCGCAGTCTACGCGCAGCCAGAGGTTAGATAGGTCCCTTCCTTCAAGCGTCCCGAGGCGACGAGAACAGATATCCTCTCTGACGTACACGCAAACTCCCGCCCGCGGCACAAATGAATGTTCCAATTTGTACCCCGGGTAGGAGAGGTAGGAAGTATCAGCCGGGGAGGAAATCTGAGTCTCGGTAAGAAAGAGCAAGGCCGGCTTCGCAGTCTCTAAATGGTAGTGGACTGCGTTGATATTAGAATTGAGCCCCCTAACATTTGTGAAGTCCACAGCGAGCGTGGACGGGGGTGCCTTTGTTGAGTTGCTCCGTTTGCCCCGAGAACGATAACTGTTTTTGATGTTGAGCGCAGAATTGCCCCCCAGAATACGAAGGGCAGCCTGTGCGTCCACCACCGGGTGCTGAATGTCCCGGTGTTGGACGCCCAGAGGGGGATTCTCCACCGCGAGCGCGTGTGGTACCCCCCTGGGGTAGATTCTCTTTTCTGCACCTTCATATTTCATGGGGAGGGGGGTGGGCTCCGGGAGTCTCTCTCACCGCACGAAACGCGAGTACAATAAGGTGAACTTATTGCATCACTTCACGCCGGTTTTCTGAGAGACAGTGGTACTGCCCCGGTCGTGCCTGCCCATTTGGCTGAAGCCCGAAGGCAACAGCATGGCACTCCCACTATGTTTTACACAATGTTTGTAAGGAGCTGCATCCATTACACCATGTCCCATATGACTTCTTAAAAAATTAATTCATATTAAATGCTTCTAATTTCCATTAACTGCCAGTTCTCAAATCAAAGGCGTACAACGAAAGAGAACAACTGGCAATAAACTCCCCGCCACTCTTTTTAATCACCAAGTTTTATGTTTTACACAATGTTTGTAAGGAGCTGCATCGATTACACCATGTCCCATATGACTTCTTAAGAAATTAATAGTTATATAAAAAATTTTAAATGTCTTCAAATAGTTTTTCAACCTATTCAACTTAAAAAAAGAGTAGATTAACGGTAAATTAAGAACCACAAAAACCGTACATTTGTATTCATTAGTGCTTTTCACAACCGACTGTAATATGCCATTCTAAATGAAAGATAAAACTTTGAATTTATTTTATTTTACGAGTACGGTTTATCGACGACTCGTAGTTTTCAGGTAAATTAACTAACTTCTGTCAATTTCAGATAAATAGTGATTTATTGCGATTTGCATTGAAATGCTAATAACGAAACCACTTTTATTTAAAAAATGGGTGTCATCTTTGAACAGTGGCTTAGTTTTTAAGCTATTGCATCGATTTTATCGCGTGCTTTGAGCGCGGCGACCGAATCAAGAAATTCTGTAACGAAAATAAAAACCTAACACAAGGTGCGGCCAATACGCGTTAGAGCGGGACAGAACGCATACTGCGTATTCACATCTCTCTGACGAGATCGGTGACATAGCGTAAGCGCGGCCGGTGCAGCCGGCTGCCGGTACGCTTGAGAATGAGACAGACTATATAGGCGTGTTAGTCTGCTGCTGAGTCTGGTAGAGTGGAAGATTAAATTAATATCAAAGAAAAAAAATACTGCATAAATAAAAAATTAAAAAATTAATAATAATAAAATAAATTATAATACTAACCGCACATTCTAGCTGTAGTAGGATAGTAGCTGATGGATTCCACTGTACACGCCAGCACTCCAGCCAGCATGCCCAGAACCCCTGCCACGCTTACAGTTGGTGCTCCCCATTGACCTGCAAAATTTAATATACGTGTATCAACGAATAACGCTATTATTATATAGTAAAAGATTATATTGTGACTTACGTAACCTAACATTAGTTAAGGTACATATATTATATATATTTTACAGTATATTTTAGTTAATAATTAGAAGCGCAAATAAATTGTTAGCAATTATCGCTCACTTGAAACCAAAATGAGCCCTTTAGTTTGTCCCACACTCATAAATTATAATAAAGATTCCGATAATGTCCAAAAGGTCGACACATTTATATTAAAATTTTATTTAGATTTAAGAATTAAAGCTTAGACCTTAAATAAGCTAAGTTAGTTTTCTGTTAGTTTCGCAACCCCACTATCCCTTATTTTAAGTTTTTTTCAATATTTAAACAATTAAAGCCAGTTGACACCCAGATTCAAACGAAGAATTTCAATTAACATAAATTTGATCATCCCTAGAACAATGGGCACCGAACTTAACTTGTGTCTCGCGCTAATTAATAAGTACTTGTTACGAAACACATTTCTATGACAGATGAACATTGCTCAATAATATTTACCTAGCATTAAGAAATATGTATATAAATTAAAATAAATTATTCATTACATATTTATCTTTGTATAGCACTCTACTGATATTCCTAAAGGTTTCTTTAATTAAAATTACCTTCAAATAAATCAAGGTCAAATCATCATAAGGTCAAAGCCCGTGCTATGATTTTAAACTTGGTGCCTATTTAAAATAAAATTTAAAAGATTTTAAAGTAATAAGGAAACAATCTTGCTAATATAAATATGATATAAATACCCGGTAAGTAAGACCAATCTTATACTATGACCACTGTGTGCGTGGGAATTCATAAGAATTTCCACGTACATAGAAGCGGTATACCAACAAATTTATGACCGCGACAAATGTAACTTATCATAGATTACCTGGGTAAGGCACACGGAACCAGGGTGCGTCTTCAATGATGTTGATCTTTAGGTCAGTTCGTGCAGGGTGTCCTGCTTCGAAGACATTCGTTGCTGTGAGGATCCCACATACAGCCCACATTATTACGATGGTTAGTAAAACCTGGAAATAACATATTATAACAATTATTTTATACCCAAATAAAGATAGACGATAGCAAGATACACAGATAATAGGTGGACCTTAAAGACAACTGTATGGAAAGGACCAAGAGGAAGAAGGAGAAGAGGTCGCCCCAAAAAAAAGGTGGATAGAAGAAATAGAAGCGATAGCAGGAAACGAATGGAGAAAGAGAGCCATAGACAGAGTCGGTTGGAAAAAGCTGGAGTAGGCCTTTACCCGTGAAGGGGTTCCGATCGACGGTACTGAAGGAAGCTAGGATATAGGATAACAAGCAAAAGATAAAAAATATACAAAAATTTAAAAGATTCTAAGCTGTGTATTATAATTTGTTTTTGTCATGATTGGAAATAAAACGGGCTTTATTATTATTATTATTATTAAAGATAGCCGAGGATTGAGAGTGTTTAATATTACTAACCGGAAAGAGTTTGAAAAGTGGAAACCAAATTACGGTCAAGCCAGCACTCTTCCTCCACGTCACTGTTGGAATTTTCACTTCACCCATGCATTGTGAAAATATTGTCAGTAATATGAATGTTCTGAAAATAATAATTATATTAAAAATTAAAACCTAAAAAGAATTAAATTTTTCATTAAAATACAAATAGTTAGGTCGCTATTATCGTTTATTATACTAATATTAAAAAGTGAAAAAATTGTACGTCGATCCCGTTTATCTCAGAAACAACGGATTCAAATTACAAAATATTTTAAGTCATTATTTAGAAAAGATAAAAGCACGCTTCGACCGAAATAACGCACGTAAAATCGCAGGGTTACTAGATAATATAAAAGTCGTCGGTAGGTACAATAACAATGAATATATTTTTAGAAAGATTTTAAATCGAGAAAACACATTTCAACGAAGAAACATTGTATGAAATGTGCAATAATAATAAATATAATAAGTGGTTTGTTTACAAACTAAGTCCACGATTTCGTTTCTTTAAAAATGAACGAGAAACTATAAAACGGCCGTAAATTTAGTTGTTAATTAAATGTTACTTTACAATTTTAATAATTTGACGATAAACGGAAGTCCGTATTTCTTATTTTACAATTAGAGGTAATTTAAATAGGTTCCTTTTAGCCCGTGTTACTTGATTATTTTGTTTAATCATCCCATCAAACGGCTTTAAGAATAATAATTACTAATTAGTATTTCGATATTGAATCACCCCAGTGTCAATTAAAGTCCCTAGAACGTCTGGGTTGATCTGGGCGCGGGGTCGTTGTCATAGCAACCAGGTCGCGCAAAACAACTCAACAAGTGAGCTGTATCGATCTTATCTGTATTTAGCAAGTTTAATACCCGCCTTCCACTGCGAGCGGAACGGACCCATTACGGACTCCGCTATACTCGTAACGATGAATTTAATACATGTGCTTCCACCAAAGCGGAGACTAGCGAAGAGGAGAGAGCGAGTTGAAAGAGTCACATATGAGGTTAGCGAGTTGACCGAGTTTCCCATGTATGAAAATCTCAAGTTACGAGTATAGCGGCGTCCGTAATGGGTCCGTTCCGCTCGCAGTGGAAGGCGGACATTAATCAACGGTTTTGACTGTCATTCCAGAGGTACTTTTTCTTATATATAATCTTAAAATCTTATAGTACAACTCGTGTCACCTACATGTTAATCGTGCTACCGAGTATTTGATATTTTATTGCCACACTGTAAGGTTAATGACAAAAGACCAAAAAACAAATGACATGCAATGACAGCGTACCAATGCCCAACTTGCCGACACTTTAGTCTTTCGACATTGTTACCTATCCGACAACTTGCATAGCCTTAAAAAGAAAAACTTGATTAAACACCTCGTAAAATAAGAATAAAAATGATGCAGGTGCCCCTACGTTTCTAGGCAACGTGTCAGAAAATATAATAATTCATAGAATATATAATCTTCAAGCAATTGACAGTTTCAATGGATAAAGTAGATCATACATAATTTAATATTTACATAACCGGTGTGCATTATTTATTCTCGTGATATTAAAATGTTATATTGTAGTCGAACTAATCGATTACTTGTATTGAAGTAATAACAAACATTTATAATAAAATGCATTAACATTTTATTCGGTCAAAATTTACAAATAATAAAAACAATACGTTGAAACATGTAGATTCGTAAAAAAGAGGCGCTTCATAGATTTCGCACACAGGCTCTGCCGGGGGCGGCGCAGCCTTGTATGCACTAGATAATGCTTATTAAAACGCGCAGCTCAAAACAAGCATATTTTCTTTAAAAGAACGGAACTTGTATGAATATATTCATAGAAAACTTTCCCAGTTGGAATTCTAAAAGCGCTGATATGACTAGAAAAGTAAAAAGTATTGAATTGTAAAGTTTTCATGGAGTCCGTTCTGGAGATGTGTTTATTTTATTTACTATCGGTCCCGGTATCGCACGGGTGGATGTTTATGCAACAAAATATTCTAATATAACATAATCTATATAAATATCCTTATTAAAAATAATCGTAAATACACAGAATATCAACAGCAACTTAAAGCTGACTTGGGCCTTTTCGGTAAAATAAAGGATTTGTATTTTTATTCTATGTTGCGTTAATTAAATAAACATATTTTCTTTTTTTTTACTATGTTAAATAGGTCTTACCACTTACTATATACTGTACTAGAAACGAAGACTATCTAAGAATTACATATATCCATTAACATTCGTAACGCAGTTAACGTATTACACGTTTTAACCAACTATTTGATGTTATAAAGACCTAAAGTCATCCTCGGACAATGGACTACAAACTATTCAGGTTTATAATAACAACCCCAATTTTACTAAAATAAAAATGTTCCCATGTTTCCACGAAACATCTTCTAATACTATCATTAAACCACGTTTAAATATTATAGGTTATATTTATGTTAAGAATCAAACGAAGCCACTTAAAATCAATTATAGAAAAATAAATTACTAGAACGTTTAAACTAGAGCGGAGTCCGAAAGGTCATGGGTCGTTACCCGTTGCAGTATTGATCTATATCACGTTGCAGTTATATAGGACAGCATGTTCTTATAATCTAATGTACTGTTAGAATTTACAATCATAAAATAACCACCAGTAATATTCGCTTGGATATTGCAGCAATGGTTTCGGGAAAACATTTCTTATTTCTGTGTGAAAAGCTTATAAACTAAGTGAGCTAAAAATTTATCCTTGCATGTTTCAATTACTGAAACAAATCCGATACGTTTTATTAATTAGAAATTGTTAAATTACTATTTAAATAGAAGTCTTTTTATCATTTTTTTTTGTTTCTTAGTATTATATTATCTTGTTTCCTTTTTTGTGTAAATAGTTGACGCAAAACAATTAATCTTATATATAAAATTCTCGTGTCACAATGTTCGGTCCCAAACTCCTCCGAAACGGCTCAACCGATTCTTATGAAATTTTTATGCATATTCAGTAAGTCTGAGAATCGGCTACTATCTATCTTTCAAACCCTAAGTGACCACCCCAAAAAAAGTTTCTGTGTAAAAAAATAAAGTTGTTTAGAAATAAACATTCTAAAACCATAAAAACATTATTTAATTGATATCTGGAGCAAATCTTTATTGAATCGCATTTGAAACCTTATTTGGAAATATTCACCTACTTTCCCAGACTAACCCGTGTAACCTTTAACCTTAACTAGTCTAAATAAACAGAATCGTGCCCTCGTGAATTCTAGCAGCATTAACGAAAATGTATGCTATTTTTGCAAGAATTTGAAACAGAAATCATTAATCAAAGGTCAAATAAATTATTTTGATTTTACCTGCCATATCTTAAAATAGAATGGAATTAATTTAACAGGTATATATATTTTGTTGTATAATGTTTTACCATAATTTGCATATATAGTTAAGTATTTTAAAAGGTTTCAAAATCTAGGGGTTAGTCAGTTTCGGCAAACGTATTTAAATAAATTGTATACTAGGTTGAATTACAATATTATTATAAGTTGTAAATGGTGCATTATGGTAACCCAAATCGCTAGTTATGCTTTGTTTTGTTATTAAAAAACTATCAGCTTAGTAATAAGTATCCATTTCTAAAAGTAACACAGTAATGAAGTGTTGTATCAATACGCTGGAGTAACAATAGCGCCTATACATTAGTAAACTTCAATGAATTAAGTAAAAACTGACAATAATCATAAAAAAAATTACGTCAAAACTCATTAATAAACTCTCGTAATTCTTGAGTATTAATTAATTCGTATTATATTTTCTAATTTTCCTATAGCACACAAATGACCACCTAATAATCTTAACCGTTTTTGAACACCGGCAACGACGGAAGCACCTAGCCAACATAGTAAGGCATTTTCTTATAGACGCGACGATTTATGTATCAATATAGGAATTCCTCAAATAGTATACGAGTTGCAACCAAACGTTTCCATCAAGTGGAAGTGCGCAGGAAAGAAGCGCCTCCAATATAAACTCTAATAGAAAATGTGTAACGGCGTGATTAAATAATAATACTTAGGTACAATCGCTTCCAGCTTTATTTATATTATTCGTAGGGAGAAGACTTACCCCGCAGCAATGCCCCACTGTTCGGACGCGGCTTCCGCAGCGTGATCGAAGAGAGTCAACCCCACCAGAGCTACGGTTGGGACGATCGTAAGAGGGGTCACGAACCGCAAAAGGGAACCGATTATTCCAAAGTAACCTGCCATGACACAAGAGAAACTAAACTTATTAAACCTGTTTTTAAGAGTTTGTGTATTTGTTTAGGTTAACACTAATCTCAGGGACTACAGTTTCGAATTAATTTTTTGTAAGGAGAAAGGCTTAATAACATCACGCTACGCTGTTTATTTAATATTGACGTTCATAAGTGTTAGTACGAATATTGATATATCAATTTTCTTTTGACTTGCTACGACCAAATCAAGGCGGGGAAACCGGGACACAGCTCTAATATTTAAGAACCAAGGCTATGGAAAAGCTTGCGTTTTATTTTAATGAAAGTTTACACAAAGGCAGCAGAGTTTTGAGTAAAGAAAGTGAGTGGAGAACGATGCAAGCAGTTTGCGATTGTTTTTACGTTCATAAATTTTTTAGTTTTTACTTAGAATGATATACATGCCTTATTAAAGATATTAAAAATCGTTTCAGTTGCTAAGTTTAGTAGATCAATCTTTGAAATATGTTAATGACGTAAGTTTTTGAAAGTTATACTTTAGGGTGTGAATAGAATGTGTGCCAGAAAACTAAAAATATAGTTTATCTTTTTATTGAAAAATTTTGCAAAAAGTCCATTAAAAATAAAGATTTCGTGACGGAAGTATAACTAATATCCGTGTTAGTAAGTTTCTTGTAATGTCATAATTATTATCAGTTCCTTGCTAATGTTACTGTGCAAGAAAGGCAAAGCTAAGTTAAATTTAAATAGTAATAATCAATAATTTTCTAGTTTCTCTTTGGTAGTTATCAGTTTTTCTAATTCTTAATCAGTTTTTAAATTGGTCGCATAAAACCTCTCTCTCTCTATCTCATAGCTCTCATTGTGCATAAAGAGCACCTGTGTATCATGGCATCTCTGAAACTTTTTCAATCCAATTGAGGAATCCTCATGAAAAAGGAAAATTAAAGATTTAGATCTACTTCATTAATTTAAAATATGTAAATTAGAGTATTTGGAATAATATTATACTACTCCAGCATTTTTACCTCCAATAAGTTGAAACAAAGCCGAGACTGCAATCGCACCAGACAGCTCGCACATTCTGCTTGTCCACACTTCCCTTCTCTGGTCCGGTGTCATGCCAGCCAGAACACTTTGCTCTGGACACTTCCAAGTCGGCAGACCAAGGATCGCCAGTGTTGGAACAAGGAAAGATATAGTACCTCCTTGGACGATCGGCAGACGACATCCAAACGTTGCTTGTAACCACGTAATAAGACCTGGAAAATAAGCATACTGGTAGTTTAAATAATTCGTAGATTACACAAATTATAGGAATATATATTATATATTTAGAGGCAAAAACCAACTTCATTCAGTTTTAAACAGATTTTAAGCTGCTTATGGCCGCGCTAGGACAATAGCGCGTAGCCGAGAGAGGGAAGTTTCATTATGAGTATTAATTTATGACAATAATATTACCTAAAACAAAAGAAAATTTCTCTTTATTCATTTCTCTTCTATAGTAAATTATAATAAATCCATATTAATTGACGGCTCATTGGTCTAGTGGTTAGTACCCCTGACTGCCAATCCATGGGTCCCGGGTTCGATCCCCGGCTGAGACAAACATCGATGTGATGAGCATTTGGTATTGTGCTTAGGTCTTGGGTGTTAAAATATGTATTTATATGTCTATCTATCTATGTATATATATGTATGTATATCCGTTGCTTAGTACCCATAACACAAGCTTCACCAGCTTAGCATGGGACTAGGTCAATTGGTGTGAATGTCCAATCATAAAATAAAAAAATAATAAAAATAAAAAATAAGTAGGTGATCAGCCCCCTGTGCCTGACACACGCCGTCGACTTTTAGGGTTTAAGACATGTCGGTTTCCTCACGATGTTTTCCTTCACCCTTAGAGCAAATGTTAAATGCGCATATAGAAAGAAAGTCCATTGGTGTACAGCCGGGGATCGAACCTACGACCTCAGGGATAGTCGCACGCTGAGGCCAACACTGCTTAAAATGTCTAATGTATTGTCAAATATTGTCTAATCAATGCGGCCCTTATTACGAATTTTCACCACTTATAGGTTAAAAATTTGAACCAGTTCAACCACGCATTGCGTAAGTTCATGATCAATGAACCGATGCGGTTAATAAGAAGTACAAAATTCCTTTAAGTGATGTGACTTTCCAGCCTCTTAGTCTCGGAACTATTTTAATTAAGTTTAAAAGCTATTAGCTTCGTTAAATGTCATCTCAAAGGGAGAGGTTAATTTTGCTAACGTTTACTTACCTAGCGGGCGAACTGAGTAGTATTTGTTTAATAAGAACTAATTTAAATAAAACATCTTAGAGGGATACTTCTTAGAACCCTTAGTACCCTTAGACGTACATGGGGCGTTAAATAAGTAATTATTTCTATCTTTTATCTTAATTACTTTTATTATAAGTGAAAATTTATCATTTTAACAACAATGTGGGTCAATGTGTGGCGTAAAATATATCATATAAAAGGTTCCAATTACACTTTTTCCAATCTCAATTTCTCAGCCGAAGACCAGTAGACCGGCCCAGGCACGACCAGAACAACAGAAGCGGAACAGCCTTGCGATTCTGTAACTCTCACGAGAGTTTGAAAAGTGAGTTACAGAATCGCAAGGCTGTACAGAGATCGGCTAAGACACATTATTGGCGGAGCCAGCGAATTGAGTGACTTTTTTTATATTAATCATCAATATCATTTTATTATAACCGTTGGCGAGCCTACGACAGTTTAATAAAACGGACGCATAAATATGTCGGATCCTATTCGGACGTCTTACTAATCCTATTTCATAAAGTCAAAACAAGTAAATATTAATAATTAATAAAACGAGTGAAATAGGGGGCAATATAAAGTTTTAATGCAAAGAATTAAATTAAAAATCTTTTAAATACTAAATAAATCTTTGTATCTGTAACCCGAGACCGGAGTCAGACAGTATTCTTAACTATATTTTACTTTTTCATTTAAAATCCAACATTGAGCGACATTTTTATTTACTCTCTCTATTTAAAATGTTGCGTGACAAAAGTCTGAAAATAAATACGTCTTGAACTAGTTTTAGGTAAAAAAAATGTAGCATTAACATTTTCAGATATATAAACACGTATCTGCAACTCGTGTCCAAGGTTGCTTTCTCTATTAATCTATCCAGGTCATTGCACAAGGGAAGGTGCTTCACATATTAGTGACACGGCTTATCGGAGATGATTGGCAATTTTCTAAAGCTTGCTTTCAAAATCCTTACGTGTGCTGTTTTATCTAAGAAAACCCGTTCCATTGATAATTATCAAACGCTTTCTATTGAATATATATTCGTATATATAGATTCATTTATTTGATTTAGATACAAGTGATATGAAAGGAATATCGTCTCGAACTGACTTTTTTTTATACAGAACTGTCCAAAAGATGCCTATTTAACCGCCGCTTGACTTCATCCAGCTCTGTGATTTCCCGAGGACCAATCGCTGGATGAAGTAACTTCGCATGTGAACTCAATAAGCAATATTTACAGAATACGGTAGCAATATAGGTTTACAATGCAACAGAGTTGCAATCGATACCGTCAGGCTTACTCCGATCCTGCAAGTTTTCCCCGTTGCATAAATTTCGATCCAGGTACACAATTAGTTAGTAATTGCCAATTAGCACTCCCTAACGAGGCCAAATATCAATTAAAATCTAGTTTCAATAGATGTCAAAGCATTTTCTTCTGTGAAACTGAAATCCTTTAAAATAAATTTCATTTCGCTTGTAGTATACTATGAATATATGGTCGCGAGTAGTCGCCGAAACAACTATACAGCTATTTCGACAATATGGTACCCGGGGGTGTAACTCAGTGGTAGAGTGTCTGCTTCGCATGCTGAAAGTCCTGGGTTCAAATCCCAGCACCTCCAACTAATTTTTTATCACTACATAAATATAAAGGCATTTTTGTTCTTAAACTGATAATCGCTTCTTACATATTTTAATTTATAAATAAAAATAAATAATTTAAAAAAGGTAAAATTTATAATGATAAGACGAGTTAAAAGACTCCCAATATAATCTGAAGAAAACGAGTAAGTCTCAACAATAGCACGCGTTAAACAAAGTTCTTTAACATTTACGTTTTACACAACTTTAATGTTTTATAACATTTGTATAAGGAATATTAAAACAATGGAAAGTTTAATAGAGATGTAGTAACGATAAAACGCTCATACGTATTTCGTTCATTAAATCATTTACTCATTATAAAAATATGTATATCCAAAAGTAAGAACTTAGACGAGATATATGATAGAATATTTATATAAGTACTTATCACCGCTCTATGTACCTACGTATTAATTACCTTAACATCGTAAACTAATTTTTATGCTTTGTTTATTATCTTAGATTCATAAGTGAAAAACACTACAAAAGCGTTTTAATAATAATTCTGGAAATTCATCACCATTTAAATATCTTGTAAATATATGTCTTGTAGTTATCATGATGTATATTTGCTTAAAGATTATCTTTAACTGTCTTTAGAGACCATAATCCACTTTATGATCAAATGGAAAATGATAAACGTTGCAACATTATAATCATAAAATGACAAAAAATATAGTGTAATGTACTGTACATGTATATTATGACTATGAATAAATTATACTATTTTTTAAATTAAGTTTATAAAATAATTAACTCTAGTCTTTAAATGCTATATATAATATCCAGGAAGCTATTAATCCCTCAATACAGTTCACACTACATAACATCAGAAGCCTTCTATATATGTTTTGTTTATACAGTATTTACAGTTTTCTTAACCTACAAAGTAACAATAAAAATTATTAAAAAGAAAATCAAAACAAATTTAAAAAGTTTGGTCCTTGTGGCAGTGTACCTTTAACGCTGGCAGCATTTCCTCGCTGTATTGCGATACTTATTCGTTGAGACAGGAAAGTACCAGCTCTCTTTTGTTTATTAATATAATAATCACCAGTTTAGTCAAATCCTAAGTACTTAGAACATTATGGGGGTGGTATACTGTGGTTTCAGAGTGTACCTGGAGGGGATAAGAGGGTAATGCTACCCTGTACTGTAAATTTTGTAAATCTTAATTGTTTTTAGTCTAAGTTTGGCCATTGAGCTGTTAATAAATAAATAAATAAATATCGCGTTTTCTTGTAATTTATAACGGCAATGCCACAAACCTGTCACAAATATCATGGTGGATATGATATTGGATCTGTCTGGGTCAGTGTCCGCCATACATAGCGCTGGACAGAGGATGAATGGAATTGCTACTATTGCTCCTATCATTGTCAGGTAGTGCTGGAAAATTGAAATTTATTTACTAAAAATGAAATCTAAATACATAATATAAATCAAATACCAGGCAGCTATAAATTAAAACAGATATTATTGAAATCTCGTAACTAAGGGTAAAATTTCGCGTCTTTTTAAAATATACGAATTCTCTGACAAAGATTGCAAAAACGTTGCTCTTGCGCTGTTTCGATGCTTATTTACTTTGATACTATATAATTTCAATAAAGTATATATTTTGGACGAACTAATGGGGCCACAAATAATATCCAATTATTTTCCAATAAGAAAATGTAAGTTTATACGGAGAAAAGGTTAGTAACTTTTCTAGATAGGGCAAGCTTTTTCAAGGAAAATTGTTCACTTGGAAAAACTATTATATACACGTTTAAAGAAAAAACTTTTTAACCAGATTAAAGTTATGTATATGTATTTGTAAAAACTTTTTAAGTTTTTTCTTTAAATGTGTAAAGGTTATATTAATCAAAGACAATACTATATTATATACACGGATTAACTTTAATATATTAAAAGTATTATTAGCAATTTTATTAAATATATATTAAATAGACTTACCTGTAACGCCATAAATATACACAAATACCATGGAGGAATATCGTCGATTCCATAAGTAACATTACCCTTACGTTGCTCTTCGTCTGAGATGTTCAATTCCTGAAAAAAAAAAAATTTTAGTTATTTATTCTGAGAGTTTACATTCATAATTAAATGTAAATTTATTTGAGAATATTATACGCGAAAGTCTGCAAAAAGTCAATACAGTGGGTTACGGTTATGTAAATAATGTCAAAAATTGGCCTTTACTTAAATTAACCATTAATTTAACCAACACCCTGGCGTACGTAATATTTCCCACATAAGTTATATAAACTCATTATTTTTTACACGGAACAAGGCTCGTTATTCTATTGTATACCTTGTACGATCGCCTTAGTTTAATTGGTAACGCACATGGCCCGGGGGTTCTGTGTTTGATTACGAAGTAATTATTGCGGCCTATAAAGAAAAATCTTTAGTGAAACGACGCAGAATTTCTCTGCCCTGCCATGACTTCTTCATTCATTCGCTTATAGTCGTTTTGTTTCGTTCGTCGTAACGTTTTTGTTAACCAACTATGTTGAAGCGGAACAAATGTAGCGCAAATGGATATATCATACCATAAATAATACGTTATACTAACAAATAAACTACAATCAAATATTGTATTTATAGTAATATAATGTTAACTGTTAGATCATGTTTAGTCCTGTGTGAATAGGAACAAGGGTCTTTATCAATTTGTATTTGGTTAATTAAAGAATTAAATTATATGTAATGGTTATGGATTAATTTAAAAAAAAAAAAAAAATCTTAACAAAATTCTTTACGATTTTTCGTGAGATCGTTAATCTTACACTCACAATGTTACTTAAAACAAAAGCAATGTCAACCGGAAATCTCATTTTCCGTAGACAATAAAGTGTGACTTTGTCTATAAACGAAACATAAAAGTAAGTGGCACAATACGCAAGAGACCGCTTAAGGGAACATTGTTTGAGGCGTAGAATATCGTACCACTGATATTCTGATTTTCGAATAACTCTTGCAAATTTTAGCGATGTTCGCTCGAAGACCGTTTGATACAAATAACTTCCGTATTTGGTAAATTTGTCGAATTACGGCTCCACCTTGAAACAGCTCCAATTTTTTTTCGACATATTTTCATCACTCGGCAATGGTGTACCAGGCAATAATATGGTGGCGCATGCTCCATTACCCCATAGAAATTAATTAAAGCATCATGATTTGTGAAATGAATCAAAGAAGGTAGAAATTATTGGCTTTAGCCTAACCAAACCTGATCATAAACGCCACTTAAGATAAAAAAACCTAACCTAATGTAATTCACTGGGGCTCACTAGGAACTGAGACAACATCATTTACTTCACGCATGTAATATTATCAGTTTTTTTAACGGGTCCAAAGCCATGCGCCTCTTTAATATTACTTGGGGTACTACATACAAGTCGTAAAGAACGAAAGAAAAAAAAATGGAGCTGTTTTAATAGCTTGTCGTGGAATCGTGATTCGACAAATTTACCACATATTTTATTTATCTTTAAACAATATTATTTACAAATGTATTAAACCGCACTTATAAAGGATATAATATATACAAGGATCCGGTGGCGCTTATTGTTTTTTTCTGTTTAGTTCGTTATTATAATTTTTTTAAATCTTTTAACAATTCGTTGAGTGGATACACAGGCCTTCACAACACTACAGATTTTTAAACCATGGAAGGGGTACCCCCTAGAAAGATCGCCTTAGAAAGTTATAACGGTAGTATAGTTGTTATTAATAAATGTCTATTAAGGATAATTCATATGGTACTTTACTATGTATCGCATCTCTTATTTAGCTGGTGTTATTATTAAGCCTTTATTGATTTCCAACGCAACACATGAAAAATATATAAAATTGAATTTAGAATTATCTATCTTACATTAGTAATACATTAAATAAAGTTTAGAGTAGGGCTGGGCTGGCAATAATTAGTTCGACATAAAGCTAAAAAAAATATAGATTTCAGTAGAAATTTGTCTGGCCCAATCGGGGATTAGGGAACATTCAAGTTACCTCCACATTCGACATAGTCTCCATTCCAATTTGAATATTGTCAGGAATCATTTTTCACCTAAAATCGAGGTTATAATTTAATAAGTATATATTGACATCAACTAATTAGCTATTCGACGTCGTTAGTATTGATCAATTATACTATATTGAATTACATAAATCGGTAAAGTGATTAATTAGCATTTACGATGCAGGTATTATATTGACTGCACCAAAATTACAATAAAGAGAGTACTTTGCAAATTAATAAACATAAAATACATTTCTGATGTCAGTATTTTAATTCTGGCGGTATTTAATTAATGGTACTATTTAGACTAAAACACGATTTAAATAAGATTGTATATGAATAAGATATATATGTATCTATATATTTTTAGACATTTAACGTAGCATAATGAAGAATAATAGGTTTTAGTTTACGTTTAAATAGTTACACTAAAAACTACTTGACTGATTAAAATTACTTTAACGATTACAAATAATAAACAATAATGTTTTGCAAATAATTATTTAAAAATAAATAAATTTTTAAAAGGTCTATCTACGAGAAAGATATATCTACTTGTAGGTCTATGGAAATAAACATTCAAACAACAAAAACATTTTTTCACAAACACGATTCAGATATCGATAAAAGTTAGTAAACACTCACCTTTTTCTAAAATAATGTCACAAATATGTTTCCTTACTACCTATGTATGTAGGGTTTTATTTGGAATTGAGTGAAAATACTTTTTGACATTGAAATGTGCGCGCGCGTCGCCCGATGTCTTACAATGAACTGAGTTGTAAGTTGTAACATTGAACGGTTGAACAGTGATTGAACAGTTGACATCTCTAATTAACATTATCAGATCATTATATAAGTTCTAAACATTATTTCCAGAATTATAATATAGCAATTATTAGTAGCTTTTTAAAATATATCAGAATACAAAACTTCTTCTTTAAATTTAAAAGTTTATTAACTAACAGCGAAAGAAAGCTTACCCTTGGTGCCATTAGTGATGATATTGGATGAATACGTAATTATCAGCAGTTAGCTAAAGCTTTGAGTGCGTCTCACTAATACAACCTTAAAATTATTATGCTGTAGGTAGTTTTATATGTAAAGCATATACACTTTACTTAACACTACTGTTGGCCGTAGTTTTACTCGTTAGAGCTGGATTTTAAATATTAATGAAAATCCTCAAGTACCTTACTAGGTATCCGTTTAGTACGTATATGCTGCTTTTAGTTATTTAAAAAAAGTAACACTACTGTTACTCCTGCTATTCTGTTTTCTAGGCAGAAAACTAGGAGAAACAAGTCTAACTATTACTAGGTTTAGATAAAGGCTGGCTTTTTAGCATTGGATAATCTGAAATTATAGGCAACTATTAGTTCGAATAATTTTACTATTGAAATTTTAACAGTTAAATATATTTTGAGTTGCGACCTTGGGTAAAAGTAGCACGGACATTAACAACTGATTACTTATGTCAATTTGTACGGCAGAAATATATCGAAAAGAACGAAACGGTGTTAGTTCGAAATTATATTATGTAATTTCGAACTTATTTCTTAGTTCGAAATCATTTTTCCTTTGGTCACTGTTTTTTTTTATTTCAGGAGAACTTCCGAATAATGTGCCGATTCTACGTCGGAGATGGTAGGTAAAAAAATTATAAACATATTTGGATTGAGGTAAGATTTAATTCAAATCAAATGGACTTGGAAACATTGGACTATAACAATACTGCTATCAAGCTAATTTTTAAATTGTGTAAGTCATACATATATTATCATTTCTATAACTATTTAGACAATTTTTCCGGTACATTACATGAACACTTTTAAAAAACAGTTTGACACCTGATTCATTCGGTGTGGGCGTTTTTACACTGCATAAATATTAATTATATTATCTGTACAATTTTTTTTTATTCACAGATTTTTGAATTGATTTTGAAAAAGATGATATTTAGGCTTTGGATTAGATTCATATATTAGTAAATCATGAATTTAGTTTTATAGTTCGGAGAAACTGTAGCATAAGAATCATGCCATTCACATTTTAACACAATAGTGAACCGTTGTGTTTTGTGTTGCACACTCCCACGAGAGGGGTGAGCTTTGGCCCATTCGGGGCATATGCCCCCTTAGGGTGGTGTCTATGTTCGCGCCCTGCTGATACAGGGCGCTACGGGGGCGGGCAGTATAGTCCTGGGGCTGCAGCGCGCGGGGAGACGTGGTCTCAGAACACAATAGTGAAGGCAGTATTCTTTGGCTATATATTATATTTGAGCTAACCATAGACAAATATTTCGTTTATATCTTGCAAATTAAGTAAATGTCTAACGCGGCAATGACTTAAGTAATAAAGAGGTTTTAGTGCATAAAGCGAACATATTATGTAAGATTGTTTTCCTGTAAATCTGTACGAGTTGATACCTATTGTTAAAATTACAGAGAGCATTTCTTCTTCAATAGTTTTGGCTTCAATTATAGCTACTATGATTCAAAGATTCAATCCAATGATAATAAAAAAAAGGGTGCGTGTACTTATGTACGCGCGTAAGAAGTTATACTTCTTTGGCATTATAAAAAATAGTTTTTGATTGCATGCAAATAATTAATTACAATGAAATAATCAAAGACTGGACAAGGAGTCATTACTCATTATAGTCAATAAAGTTCAGTTTACATTTGAAAAATTAAATAAATAAATATTTATTATTATTCTCTTAGATTAAGTGCAACATAAATTCTATTATTATTCGAATGTTGTTTTTAAATTATGTCCAATGCCCATTAACAGAATGAAGTTCCGTGGGCAACTTCATGCTGATAATTTTGTATCACGGTGCGCGCGCATCGTAAAATTTCACTCTCATAAATTTTTACTCGCCTAAAGAAGTATAACTTCAAAAAATAGCCTTAGTCTTAAAGCTGACATTTTTTAAATCTTTGTCGTACAAGATTAACGCATCGTTTTAAAAAGTAATATCACGTTTATTTGCGTTACAACTTTTAAAATTCATATCATATTAAATATATTAGAATTACCCTAAGCAGACCGATTTCTATATCGCCCTAATTAGATTTAAATGTTAAATGCTTCCCTTTCAAGCAGCGGCGATATAGTATTATGAGTATCACGAACGAACATCTTTACTTATCCAATAAAATTATTTTAACAATAGTTACAGGTAAGTGGAACTTTGTCTACTTTTGGCTTCGATTTGAAGTATTAAATGAGCGCAGCTATATTATTTTAAAATCTTTTTAAATAAACAAATAATCGTACTATTTTTTTAAGAACAGAACGATTTCGAGCAAATGAACGGAGCTGATGGCCCGGAATGAAGTATCGCTTTGCCTTGAGCACACCAAGTTTCTTGGAGGCAAACTTAGCCTTTCCCTCCAAATAACCGCAAAACCGAACGTCGTTCGATAATTAATTTATAAAGAACTACTTTCTAGATAAAACGCTATATTACAGTTAAAATATAGTTATAAAAATAAAGTTTTTCTCTCTTTTAGAACGTTTGGAAATGTTTTCCGCCAAATTTATCACAATCAATCGAAATCAAAAATTAAAGTATTAATGTCAATACTACTATGAGCGAAATCCTTGGTTAAGAGTTAAGATCACTCGCGTTTGTCAAAATTCAATACGACACTTAGCACTAAATTTTGTTTATGAGCCTGAATTAGTTGAAAAAGTGTTATGTATGTACGATTATCTACAAAAGGGAGAAAACATTCAATAGCCATTTGAGGGTTATAGTATGTTTATGATTGCGCGGGTCAGTGTTTCCTTGTCAAATAATTAGGTAAATATTTTTATTTTTGGTACAATTATTTCCTATATATATCTGTCTATAACTTCCAACAGAGTCAAAGATTACTAGCAAGATTGCTTCTTTATTTTGAAATCTCGTTATTGTAGTAGAATTTCCCTTGAGATACACACATCTAAAGTAATGCTGTATCAATCTTGCTTTGACGATTCACGTAATCTTGCACTGTGGGAAATATGTCGTCGTCGCTATCGTTCTTGTTCTTCATTGCTAGACTCCTGCACCAAAGGTGGAGAAGCTTCTGGAAAAAAATGTGAAATATATTAAGGAGCAATAGGACCTTTTTAAATAAATTAATTTCAGTCTGTGCGGAATGAGATCCGGCGTAGCGGTTAATATGAATATGACATTTATACAACTGTCAAAAATGACAAATGACTTTGTTTCAAAACTTGCGTTGCTTGCGATTCTCATCGAGTTCGATCTAGGTTCGATCCCCGGCTGTGCACCAATGGACTTTCTTTCTATGTGCGCATTTAACATTAGCTCGATCGGTGAAGGAAAACATCGTGAGGAAACCGGCTTGCCTTAGACCCAAAAAAGTAAACGGCGTGCGTCAGGCAAGGATGGCTGATCACCTACTTGCCTATTAGATTACCAAATGATCATGAAACAGATACAGAAATCTGAGGCTCAGACCTTAAAAGGTTGTAGGGCCATTGATCTTTTTTAATTATGTGTATGGGGATGTTATATATATATATATATATTATATTAATTATTATATAAATATATAATAATTAATATAATAAATATATATAAAATATTATTCAACATTACTGCATTTGTTTCATTTTATTATAGCCAAATGATAAGTTTATTTAGCTTCCCTCTCGAATTATTATTGCGCCGGGCATCAAGCCTTGGAGACCAGTCAGAACAGTTAGAACAGAGTGACCAATTAAACCATGGAAGGATTTTTTTCATAGAACAGGAGGCAAACGGGCAGGAGACTCACCTGATTTAAGAGATACCGCCGCCCATGGACGCTCTCAATGCCAGAGGGTACGCGAGTGCGTTGCCGGCCTTTTAATAAAAACAAAACTTGCCGGTAAAATATTAATATAAAAATTACCTCCAGATTTCTCTGTGCAACTTGAGGCAGCTAACTCTGCTTCGCGGCGTTTTCTAGAACGTTTATTAAACATAATAATTTTCTTTATTGATATTAGACAAACCTCAAATAAGTCTTAAACTTTAAAAATAAATGTGAAATATTTGTGCCTTAATCGTTTATAGAATTTAACTGCAAGTGAAAACGGTGTATTTTTGTTACCATGGTAACCATGTTTACATAAAATAAGCATCTATTTTTAATCTAGGGTTTTATTGTAAAATATTTCAATACTGAGCTTGTTTAATTATTCTAAGGAGCAAAAGAAAAGGCTGGCCAACAATGGACATTTCTTTTGTGTCTGGCACATGCTAATAACCTTGCCTTGTTAAGAAAAAATAAATGATCAAAAACCAGTACAGTAAGCCCATGACCAAGAGTTGTAGTACCACTGGTGTTTTTGAAAAATTATATAGGATAATATTAATGACACAGTAACCCATGATTTAACACTCTAAATTCTCTTCTTAATAACTAATTATTTGAAATTCAAGACAGTGAGATTCAAAGTAGACTTAGTGTTAAATAAAATGTATTGGATTTGTTGTTTGGGAGGCATACCACACTAAAACTTAACTTTGATGTTGGAAAAAAGATTGCTACTTTATATCCTATAAATATGTAAATACATACTATATATGCTCAATCCAATAAACTATTGTGAATTGATCCTGCACTGCAAGTTTATGTGCTGTGCGATGAATTTATGATGATCAATCAAAAGATAAAAAGGTAGAGAACCACTTTGTAAACCTTGTTCGTCACTATAGTGCATTCCTACAATCACTCTCATTCTCAGTAACGCCTAATTTATTCCTTTATCTTCAAACCTTTTAAGGAAATCCTTACCTTTCCTCTGATTCCTTTATCTTCTTTTCTACCACGGTCCAAATGTTGTATTTTTCTTCCTTTGCCTCATTAAATTCAACAAATTTCTCATAATATGAACTCGCTACTTCTGAAGGAACAAATGTATTGGTTTTAAGTATTTCTGGAGATACTTTTGAAGTATGTGGACTTTTATTTGACTTATTTGATACTGTTTTCTTCTTAAACATACTCGATGCCATACTACTATTATATACAATAGGTTTTAGTCCATTTTGTTTTTTTTCAATGGTTATACTTTGCATAATATTTTCAGTTTTTGATTTATTTTCTAAAGATATGGGTTTGTATTTGCTTTTTTCACTTAGATCTAAAGATTCTTGTTGTGCTTTAATTATGGACTCAATTGCGGCATTACGGTTTTTCTTTTTTGTAATTTTCTGCTCTATTTCTTTATCTGAGGCATCTCCAGAAGATTCAGGCACAAAGACTTTAGATAACGGATTTAGTTTGCTGATTTCAACAGGTTGACTCTCAGGTGTGACGTCATAATCATTCACCTAGAAAAAATATAGTCTTCAGATAAGTTATAATTTTAGTTTTTATTATAGTGACTATATTGTTTTGATAATATTAAAACCCAATCTAATGTTAAAATGTTTAGTTTTTAGAGAAGAAAAACAATTCAATAATCAATTGTTTAACTTACCATTTCCAGCATTTGCATAATCATTTGTAAATCAGGGCCTTCACTATAGTCTGTTGTTGCACTAGCATCTTTAAATTGGTATTCCAAATCCATTTCTGTAAAATATTGTAATAAACCTTACATGATATATGAATAATAACCATTATAATAAGTATTATTTACCAGTATATTGTCACAGTATTGTGGCAAGTTATAGAATGTTCAAAGTAAAAGCACTCCTCATAAAAATGGGAAGTCTTAAAAGAGAGATATTATAGTAACTGTTTTCTGTACATACAACACTATGGTATTGTTTTTTATTTTTATTAGGTATAGTTATAGTATGTTTTGGAGAAATACATAAGAATGTCTAGTGTATTATTTTCCAGCAGGGGGCAATGAAGGGATAGCTCACTTCTGTAAATTTTGGTCTAATTTATTAATACAGTTTTAGTCCATGTAACTCGTTTTTGTAAGTGCCATTAAATATAATAAATACCATCGTCATATTCTCTTGAGGGTGTTTCGTGGTATAGCAAAGGGTCAGTTATTGCTATAGGAGCTCCTCCTTGAGCCCTGGCAAGATCCCGATAAAGGGCGTCTTTGGATGTCCAGGATTCATTATCGTTCATATTTACTGAAAAATGTAATATAATATGGAATAGATGATTATGCCCTGTTCATCTTTCATCATAAATAATCGCAATCAGAATAAGAACAACTAACAAACCAAAAAGTAGCACTCGCATTCTACGCTGCGCTGAAGTACTCACATTTTATCAAATGTAGAAACTATACAGTAAATGAGTAAACATAAATATTTCAAGAAATTGAAATCGTTAAGCCCCGTTTTTTTGTTGTAAATATTAAATAACACAAAATCAGTGTCTCTACAAGTCTTCAGAATTAAAAAGCAAAAATGTCAATCTGACTGATTGCAAATTGCAATAGCTGTAAAAAAATCTACTTGAATTTTGACATATTTGACAGTGCTCAAGTAGAGATTTTTTTTTATGGCTCTGGCACGGTTTGTGCATTAGCCAGCGTCAAGTATAAGATTTTTATAATTCGCACTTGTAATTTGCCATCCTCGGCCTAGAACGTATTGCTACGTTCTAAACCTTCACAGTCTCCTTTCTTAGGTAGCATACTCACTGCTTGCCTTAGAAATTCGACCATGCCCTTCATGTACGGTTTAAGCACTCGCCCGGTACCGCACAACCCTCCCAAAGGCCGAGAACAAATTTAAATTAAATTAAAACTTGCCCTCGATCCGGGAATCGAACCCGGTACCCCTCACCTAGCTGCCACTTAATAAGACCGCTAGGCTATTAGGCCCCTAAGTAGAGATTGTGACGTGAAATACATTATGGAATACGGGCTTAGCAAATGTATCATTAGTTTTTTGTTTTTTTATATGGCCCGCACGGTTTGTGCATCGGTCAAAAACAGGGAAACGGGTAAAAACATAAAATTATCGGCTGGAAAGGAATTTAGGTATAGAAAATAATTAAACTATAAAATAAAAGATCAATTCTTATAAATCTACATACAAAAGGAGTGTAAGAAAACATATTTACATATATTTACGTTCATATTGTCTAAATTTTTATATTATTACTTAAGATAAGAGCTGCTAAAAGTTTATAATATACATGTGGGTTGTAAAGTTGAAAGTAAACTTGATATGGATGAAGGGAAATGAGACCTTCGAGAAGAGCCGACCGGTCGCGCCGAGGACAAACAAACATTATGTGATTTAAATCACCTACATCATATCCGCATTAAATTTTGACGTAAAAATATTTACATTAGGACAAGAAAAATAAATAGACACTATACAAATTTTATTTACAATAGCAGCAATGACTGATAAATTATCTCCGAATGAGGGAAGTGGAAATAAGGAATAGGGGAGATCATTTTTAATGACTATGGCAACACCACCATAGCCTGTCGGAGAATAACATAATATCTAACCTGGAATTCGAAAAGTCAATTCCGGGCGAAGCCATGTTTCCGACAGAGTGGAGACAAATGGTTCAAATTTATTATACAAATGGATTAAATCATTTTTATTGCAGATAACGCATCTGCAATTCCACTGGATTATTTGTTCGCGTTCGTGACGTATAAGCAGATTTTAATCTAGTTAAGGCAGCAATCGTTTGGCGACGTTGTTCAGTTACGTTGTTGTCAGAGTTAGAATTGGATTTAATTTCAGTCAAAAGTTGGATTAAATCAGAGATTATGTCTCTATTGTTAACGTTACTGTTTATTAAAGCGACCACGTTAGAAGGAGCTGGAGCGTCGTAGTCCTTTATCAAATTGAAGTGTTCTGTTTATACCCCAGTTGTTTTAGTTTGGGGGATGTTGGTTTAGCAAATATTGTTTTCTTATAAGATCTACTTATCCGACGGAATCGAGGGAGAGGAAGGCGAAACATGTGGGACAGGAGAATTAGGAGTATTCTGGATGTTTGAAAACTTAACTATATCAGCAAAAGATTTTGAAACTGGATCATGCACTTTATTTGCTTCTGCGTAAGATACACATTTCTGAGCCATATACAATTTAATTTTAGTCTGCCGTTCATATTCTGGACACTTTCTGTTTGTAGCAAAGTGTAGACCAGAACATAGACAGCAAGACGCGGCATCATCTTGTATGTTGCATGTGTGCCCAGTATGGCCTTGGCCACACTTGTAACAGCGGGGCCGAGAGTTACAATTAGACTTAGTATGACCAAATCGGCAACAAGAATAGCACTGAATAGTGGGATATGCATAAAGTTCCACGGGTAGGGCATTGTAGCAGACAAATACATGTTTAGGTAGGGTTTGACCATCGAAAGCTATTACAATAGTCTGTGATGGCTTCCACTCAGGAGGGCTGCCGTTACGTACTTTATAATTTAGTCGTCTAATTTATATAATTCCTCCGCTGCCTACAGGCAGAGAGATGTTGTCTAATATCTCTTCGGGAGACCATTCCGCGGGAACGCCTCGCACCAGGCCCATTCGGGTCACATTATATGAGGGAATAAAAGCTTTGTAATTATTTCTTGCCAGGCAAGGGTTATTAATAAATTCGTTTGCACATTTGTGGTCTGAGAATGATAGGGAAATTCGGTTTCTGCCTATCCTTTTGATGCTACCATTAATTATGTTTTTAAAAGAATTTTTCTTGAGGAAATACCCAAATTGGACGGGGTGTAGGGAGGAGATGTCCGTATCTGAAGAAACTTTTTGCGCATGAACTACGAATGGCCCTATATCATAGGTCTCATAAAACGTTCAGGCCGAACGTATAGGATTTTTTATGGACTGAGAAACATCTGATGGTGGTGATGGGTGCTGTTGGGTATTAACAGTTGTAGTATCTACACAGTCTACTTTGTTCTGAAAACTATCTAGAGCATTAGCGTTCTTAAGCCCAGTATATATTGAGGGAATTTCAATTTCCGGTATTTGGCACGAACAATCAGTGTCCTTTTGTTTGTTCCGACGCGTCGGATCGAATCTTTTTTTCCTTTTGTTGCAGTGTTTGCAAATTGTACCTAGTCGCATTCTTTTTCGGTCATTCCGTTGATCCACATCTGTATCTACAAAATCGAAATTAACTTAATCTCGTTTTGATATTTTAGGTGATTTTTGATAAATGCTGAGGTAGGAATATATTGATACTTTATAGAAGAGGTAAAACAATAGAAAGAAACATTTCCATTTACCTTATTGTAATTTTTCATCGATAATTATACAAAATGTCGAGTGATAATAGCAATTTTTAATACAAGGATTTATTAAGTATTCATGCTTAATATTCCTTGAATTATTAGATTACATAAAAGCTGTATGGAAATCATAACATTTTGATTGCAAAGTTATGGATATAGATTAGCCAGAGATTAATAGAGCTTTTTCAATATCCCCGACGACGAAATAGTCGGGATATTATTAATAAAAAATTATTTATGAGTGAAAAAAAATAATAATATGGGCTTGCGAGTGATGAACGAAACGAATTCAAAACCTCTGTTTAAAGTATAATTTAGTATTTTAGTAAAACAAGATAGATTTTAATCATTATAGCTTTGTGTCATCGTTAAAATTAGCTCACACTTTCTCATGACACAGGTCATGTTTGAGAAAAATAGTTCTATTAAAATCTCTGCAGTAAAAGACTACTACAAATATAACTTTGTAGCGAATCGTAGATACGCACTAAAAATGTACAACTCTTTTGTGTAGTATTTTCTCTAGGATTTTGATGTATGTGTTAACATAAAGATAGGACACTAAGAAAAGAAGAAAACAGACGTCACTCAGACGGACTTTGAAGACAAGTGAATATATATATATGTTTTTCTTCCTTGAGCGTTTCTATGTGAATATAAATTAATTACTCTTGTTTGTGAAGAATAAACCAATTAACAAAGATAAAAATGGGTTGTGATTTATTTCAAGATAGCACATCCCATAATTGGTGACCCCGACGTGATGTGAAGTTTCCGATGTGTTTTGAAGTTTCCGACGTGATTTTTTTTTCGCAACTATATATTATCCCATATTCAAAACAGCTCGGACACCACTTTTTGGACTCGCACTCCCAGTTGAGCACGAGCGACGAGGTGCGGACCCCAATCGTGTCGCTCCAGGGCCAGGTGCGCCAGCAGCGCGATCGTCTGGATGGTTTTTCCTTTCACGAGTCATTTGTCGCATTTACAAAACGCTTCAACTATATTTTTGTGCATATATTGTTATTTGTTATATTTATATCTATTTGATATGACAACTTATATGTTTACAGTTTAGCTTACCTGTATACTAACCGTGTGATCTGCCACTGCACCTCTCTCACGGCTACCAAATTTTTTTGACTTAGTTTTTATTTTTTATTTTATTTATTATTTCATCTTGCTTGGTCGTGTGGTATAATGGCTGATAGGGAATTAGAACAGCGATTACAACAGCTGACACTGGAGAATGCAGCTCTTCAGCAGAAACTGACTGATATTGGATCTACATCAGAATCAACACGCAAGTCTGAAGAGCAAGCGGTGTGCAAGGTAGCTGTCAAGTTACCACCTTTCTGGCCTGACAAACCAGCGGTATGGTTTGGGCAGGTGGAAGCTCAGTTTGATATAGCGGGTATTGTTGGTGATAATACCAAATATAATTATGTAATAGGTAGATTAGACCAAAAGTTAGCTGGGGAGATTGAGGATATCATTACCAGACCCCCACCCATAGGCCAACGGTATAAAAAGGTAAAAGATGAGTTAGTACGGCGTCTTTCAATGTCAGAGGAACAGCGGGTACGCCAGCTTATTAGTGTAGAGGAGCTTGGAGACAGGCGACCATCGCAGTTTCTGCGTCATCTGCGTTCGTTTGCGGGTAACACCCTTACAGATGAAAATATTTTGCGCCAGCTTTGGATGCGCCGTCTTCCTCAAAATATTTAGGCTATTTTAGCTTCGCAAACTGAACTGAGTCTGGACAAAATAGCAGACCTCGCAGACAAGATCACAGAGATATCAGGACCCAGCCACCAGGTGTACTCCTGTGCGATGCCAGCGCCTGCACCATCGGTACTGGATTCTTTAGTAAAGACAGTGGAAGATTTAAGCAAG